AATTTATTTGCTGCATCAATAGGAAATGGAACATACTCCACTATTTCCCACTGAATTCCATTTAAGGTGACAGCCTTGCTGGAAAGCTCAGCCTGGGCTCCGTGGAATCACACAACACTTTGGGTTGGAGAAGCTCTCCAAGACCACCAAATCCAACCATTCCCAGCACTGCCCAGGCCACCAGTAACCACGTCCCAAGTGCCACATCCACATGGCAGTTCAAGCCCTCTGAGATGGTGACTCCACCAACTCCCTGGGCAGCTGTGCCAGGCACAGACAGCCCTTTCCATGAAGAGATTGTCCCTAACAGCCAACCTAAACCTCCCCCCACTATTGCAACAACACATCATCAGTAGGGTAAAACTAACCTGTCTCACGACGGTCTAAACCCAGCTCACGTTCCCTATTAGTGGGTGAAGGTGCTCAGGTGAGCGCTCAGGTGAGTGAGTCACTAAGGAAGCAGCTGGGAGGGAACTGCTTGAGCTGAAATACTTAAGGCTGGGGAAAAACTCATCATTCAAATTGCATGATGTGTGTGATGTTGCTGCCTCATCCCTGGGAGTGTTCCAGGCCAGGCTGGATTGGGCTTGGGGCAGCCTGGGCTGGTGGGAGGCGTCCTTGCCCAGGGCAGGGGTGGATTACAGGATCTTTAAGGTCCTTCCACCCCAACCCATGCTGTGATTCTGTGGTTCCTTAGCATTACAAATGCCCTTTCCCCTTCCAGGCCCAGCTGAGCCCTTGGCTGTGCTGCCCCAGCAGCAGCTGCAGGAGAGGCAGCTGAAGCTGGTGCTGAAGATTCCAATCCCAGCTCATCCTCCCTCTGCCAGGGACAAACATGTTTGCCCTCAGACCAACCAATATTGGTTTTTCCACTAACAGATTTTATATAACAGCAGCACTGGCCAAGGATGTGCTGAACTGCTCAGACCTGAGGTTGTTAAAGGACTATTTGATCATGGTTAGGTTATGCTTAGAAATATCAAATAGATTAAAAGAGAGAGAGGTAAAAAAGCCACTTTCATTCCCTGGAACTGCTGAATTTTTCCTCTCCTCTCACCCTCCCATCTAACACAGCTGAGTGATGTCTCAGCACCTACACATTCTCTTGGGCAACCAGGTCTAGGTGGCTCTGCTTGAGCAATGGGGTTGGACCCAAAGGCCTCCACAAGTCCCACCCAACCCCAACCAATTGTGATCTTTGGCAGAGAAATGGTTCAGAAAGATGTTTCTAGGGAATTCAGCCCTTGAGTTACCCCGGGTGAAAGCTGCTTTGGGCTCCCCAAGCTCCTGGTCCTCTCCCACCAGGGCAGAAGACAAGGACTCCCTCACCCATTGCCAAACACCACCACGAGAGCTCCTCAACACACGTGCAGCTCCATACTCCACCAAATCCCACCTGCTGACAGATTCCTGCCATTCCCCTGCCCACAGGCAACCCCAGAATGACCCACAGCAAACCACCCACGGGGGAGCAACTCTGGCACACATGATGCTGCGAGGACCATGAGCTCCTTGTTCCACCTCTCTCCCAAATTCCCACACAGTGAGGCTGATGATTCCTTAGGAACACCAAGACCTGGTCACAAAAAGCACTGTAAGACACTGGAGGAGGAGAGTGAGAAGGTGAACAGGGTGGGATGGTGAAGGCCCCCAGCTACTCAGTGGTGTGATGTTTCAATCCTGGTTAGCTCCTCCATCACCCCCACAGTGTTTTTTCTTCCACCCTTTGCCCACATCAGTGCAAAAAAAAAGTCCCCAAAAAGCTAAACCCAGAACAAATCTCTTGACCTTTAAAGGTCTCTCCCAACCCAAACTCTTCCACGAGTCTATGATATTTTATGCTCCACCTTTAAAGCTGCTAAATCTGTCTTGAGGCTCCTTCCAAGTGACCTTGAGAATAAAACATCATTAAAAGATTACAGAAATGACCTAAACCGTGTTAGCTCTCAGACCTGTGTTCCAGCTGTTTGTTCCCCCAAGTTGCTGTGCTGTGGGATCACTCCCATGTCTCTGCTCCACAGAGGAACCTTCCTGTGGAGCCCAACAGGTCCTGAACTCAAGCTCCTCATGCTCTGCAAAGCCAAACCAATGGAATTCTCCCTTGCTGCCACCTGTGTGGGTTCACTGAGCCCCTGGCAGGCTGCTAGGGCCTGTAGCCAGCAAAGCATGTGAAAAGCCTTCCAAGATACCATTTCATGAGTCTGGGAAAGGGATGCACATCCCATTCCTGCCAGGATTCATGTGCTTCAGGTTCTTATTCACTGCTCATTATGAGCCATTGTAGTAGCTTAGCAGTAAGTCAGAGGAGAAGAGAGAGATTTAAAGGGCTCCCTAATCCCACACACATCCAGAAGGAGAATCCAAGGTGAGAGTCCAGACTTGTTCTCCCCATGAACTCCCCTGTGAAGGTTTGCTGACAGCTGAGCTTCCAGTGCTCCCTCACAGCAGTGTGAAATGAGGACAACAGGCCTGGAAAACAAACACTCGGAGTGTTCCTCCAAGTGACATGTTCCCATCAGAATGGAAGGATGGAAGATGTATCACAAATAATCCTCAGTAATTAGCAATCACCCTAGAAATCACAACCAGCTTTGGGGGATGAAAAGCCATTGGAACATCTCAGCTGGGAAATGCTCCAAAAACTGGGAACAAACCCAATGCCAGAGGCAGCACTGAGCATCCCCCAGTGTTCCCAGGGAAAGCTCCTGGGCTCTGCTCTTGGGAGGATCCCAGAGCATTCCACACACAGGAGTGTTAGTCAGTGGGTCACGGGATCACACACTGGTGTGGGCTGGAAGGACCCTAAAGCTCATCTTGTTCTACCTCCTGCCCTGGGCAGGGACAGCTCCCACCAGCCCAGGCTGCTCCAAGCCCATCCAGCCTGGCCTGGGACACTCCCAGGGATGGAGCAGCCACAGCTGCTCTGGGCACCCTGTGCCAGAGCCTCAGCACCTCACAGCCAGGAATTCCTTCCCAATATCCCATCTAAAACAATACATTGTTAGATTATAACCATTGCCCCAGGAAGCTCCAAGGACAATCAGACCCTGCTGCTCCCCTCACAGGGAGCCCAGAAAGGACCAGAAGTTCCATCCTCCCTCCCTCCCTCCAGAGCTGCTTCCCACTTCCCGTGTCTTACTATCCAAACAACCTCAAACCTGTAATTAAGGAGGGTAAGGAAAGCAGAAAGAAATGTTTATATAGCCCGAAATTAAACTTTCAGTGATGATGAGACAGTAAATTAACTTAATCAAGTTGGGAGGCATCTAGGAGAAATCATTTTTATATGGTTTAATGAGAGAAGGCATTGGAAATGGTGATTTTAATCAGCCAAGTGGGATTTATAAGCAAGAAGATCCTGCTTAAACAACTCATTAGACATCTCCAAAAAAATCCTGCCTGCCTCTGCAGAGAGCCAAAACAACATTTATTGTGTGTATTTACTAATTCTCCAAGCCCCTTGGTACCAGCACATATCAAAAGGCAACGGATTCAAGCAGGAAAGAAAGTGAAGGGGGAAAAAAACCTCTTCATTAGCTCCTGCTGCAGCAAAGCAAGAGGCTCCAAGAGCACAGCAAAGGCAGAGATGACCCGAAACATGGTATTAGGACCCTGGAATTGCTACTTATTATAAACACAAGGGCTAAAACAGAGGGGGAAGCACTGGACACCTTCTAGGACTTGGACAGGGGAGGATTGGCACAAGAGCGAGTCCAACCTGTGACCCATCACCACTGCCAACTCAACCAGAGCACTGAGTGCCATGTCAAGTCATTCCTTGGACACCTCCAGGGCTGGTGACTCACTATGTGTCACAACAACTCAAGGCTCTGAACAGCCTTAAAGAACAGCCCTAAGGCTCTGAATCCATGCACTGATCCTGCCACTTTTCCTCTCTCATCTCTCATCTCCACAGCCCTGAAGTGTTCCAGGCCTGGTGGGACAGGCCTTGGAGCAACCTGGACTGGTTTCAGAGTATGTTCAGGGGATGGAGCTCAGAGACCATCCAGCCCCAACCCCTGCCCTGGGTAGGGACACCTCCCACCAGAGCAGGTTGCTCAAGGCTTTTCCAGCCTAGGAAGGTTTTTCCCCTCCTCACCACCATCCCCTTGACACTTCCAACCTCCTGCCAGAGGTTCTCCCCCTGATGCCCTCAGCTCCATCCTCTCCTCCTCTCTCATTTCCTCACACTGTGAGATCTATTCTAACTTTAAACCCTTTCATCCCTTCATGTTCTATCAAGATAGAGCACATTTTGCTCTATTTTGCCTAATATTCAGCTCAGCTCCCAAAAGTAGGTCATGAAATTCACAAGCTTAGACGAGTTAGGCTTTAAAGACCCAGAAAATCCCTTTTCCCCCCCATTTCCACTCTCTCTGTCATTTCCAGGTCTAAAATATTTCCCAACACAAACCCAAAGACACCACTTGGTTTTCAAAGTCTCAGAGTTATTGACAAAACATATGGTTTTATGGAAATATTAAGGAGTTTTTATGGAAATACCAAAGGATTTTTATGGAAATACCAAGTTTTCATGGAAATATCAAGGAGTTTTACTGGAAGAGCACAGAGGATTCACCTCTGTGCCCCAACCTCCCTGGGATCAGGCTGAGCCTGAGGCTCTCAGAGGTGATCTCTGGGCTAGAAAAGCAGGATGGAAACATTGGGACACCAATACATGGACCAAAGATGATCAAAGATATCCTAAATTTCCCTGAAAAGAAGGAATGGCCTCGGTGGCTGCAGCAGGATCCTTCCCCAGCCTGGGCTGAGCTGAGAGCACTGCCCAACCCCAGCACAACATCACCAAGCCATGGTGGCAACAGAGCATCTCCCACATCACCCTGCTAACAAACACATCGCCAAGACCCTCCGACGTCCAGAAGCTGTAAGAAAACACCATTTTGGCCACCACAAACCACTTTCAAACCACGATGCCAAGGCAACGTGAAGCTCTCCAGCCGTGAGTGGCAAGAGGAGCACGTGGTGTGTGCACTCACCTGTGGTCTCCACGATGCCCTCCAGGATGACGACGATCTCGAACTGCTCTGTCTGCATGCTGCGCTGGGACAGGTCGTAGAAAGGGCTCTTGGAGTCTATCACGTGGCAGATGGTCAGCGGGGACACGAGGAAGAGCTGGTCAGCACCCGTGCTGAAGCCCACGTCCAGCTCCAGCTGGTCCAGAGGAAGGAACTCACCCTCCGGGGTCTGGCGGGACTGGGAAGAGAGGAGGAGAGGGACAGGTCAGGAGCTGCTTGGAGACTGGAACTGCTTGCCCAGAGGAATTGGAATTTCCCATCCCTGGGAGTGTTCCAGGCCAGGTTGGATGGGGCTTGGAACAACCTGTTCTGGTGGAAGGTGTAGAAGGAGTAGAAGGAATTAGCTTTTAAGGTCCTTCAAAGCCATCTGGGAGTCTTTGGTCACTGCTGGAATGACCATCCCCAAGGCACTCCAGCAGCATCCCACATCCTTCCCAGTGCTCTGTACCATCCATCACACCAGGCATTCTGGAAAACCACTGGAATGGTTACTCTGCCACCAACCCAGTGTCACCCACCAGGAAAGGATGAAGCTGGAGGAACCAGGGTGGTGGACCCAGACAGGGTACAGGGATGAGGAGACATCTCCCCTTGAGCATCCCAAATCCTCACAAAATCCATGTTGCAACACTGACCAGAGGTGAGGAGCCATTCCCTGTGTCCTGTCCCTCCATCCCTTGTCCCAAGTCCCTCTGCAGCTCTCCTGGAGCCCCTTTAGGCACTGGAAGGGGCTCTAAGATCTCCCTAGAGCCTTCTCTTCTCTGGGCTGGACCCCCCAGCATTCCCAGCCTGGCTCCACAGGGTGCTCCAGCCCTTGGAGCATCTCCGTGGCCTCCTCTGGACTCTCTCCATCAGCTCCACATCCTCCTGCTGTTGGTGCCGTGACCTGGAGCAGCACTGCAGGTAAGATCTCACCTGAGAGGAGCAGAGAGGCAGAATTCAACTCACCTGCTGCCCACAGTGATGATCCCAGGACATTGGGGGTTCTGGGATGTGCACCAGGACCAGCACAGCCATCACTCCATGCTACCCACACTCCCACGAGTGACACCAGCAGCTCAGAGGAGCCCAGACCTGCACTTCCCATAAAATGGGGTGCTGGGGAGGGATGGGAAGGTGCTGGGGGCCCCAGGGATGCAGCTGCTCACCCCCTCCCCAGGGCTGGAAACCTTTGGAAGCCCAAACTCCAAAGGCATCAGGCAGAGCAAACTGGATTATTCTCCTCGCTCGGGACTCGGGTTCTATTTTTAACATCTCCCCTGAATGGTGACTGGATTGAAGCAGATCTAATCCCAAACAAACAATCCTGTGTTTTGCTCAAGTTTTGGCTTCCATTTCTGCAGGTGGAAACGCAGATTTCCCACACTTGACTCCACTCCCTCTCCCAGGCTCAGGTCACAGCCCCAAGGCCACCAGAGCCCAGAAACACCCAGAGCACCTCTGCCTGCAGGGTGTGTGTTCTCTCTTCAAAGAGAAGTTTCCAATAAAGAGGCAAAAAAAACATAGGAAAAGCACTAATCAACCCCTGGGAGCAGGACAAGGAGCAGCTCTGGGGAGGGACCTGCTTGCATAGGACATCGCACTCCTGGGCAGTGCTGGTCCAGGGAAGGGAAGGCTAGAATATTGCTGGTGACTCTGCCACACCAGGGAGACCCAGGACTGTCCATCCATCACTTCCCCATCCCTGAGAGTGTTCCAGGCCAGGCTGGATGGGGCTTGGAACAACCTGGGCTAGGGGAAGGTGTCCTTGTCCATGGCAGGGTAGAATGGGATGAGCTTTAAGGTCCTTCCCAACCCAAACCCTTCTGGGATCTCAATAGGTGATATAGTGATGGAGTGTTAAAGACAATCTTCAAAGTCCAGAGAAACAGGATGAACTACAGATGGGGAAAGGAAATGAGAGAATCCCAGATTCGTTCAGGTTGGAAAAGCCCCCCAAGCCCACCAAATCCAACCATTCCCAGCACTGCCCAGACCACCACTAACCATGTCCCAAGTGCCACATCCACGTGGGTGTTAAATCCCTCCAGGGATGCGACTCCACCTCTGCCCTGGGCAGCTGTGCCAGGGCTGGACAACCCTTTCCATGGAGAAATCTTTCCTACTATCCAGTCCAAGCTGAGACTAGATTCCCAGAGCACCATCACCCCCAGCCCTCACCCTGGAGCTCGTGGGATTCCCTTTTATTTTCCTCTGCCCCTTTATTTTTTCCTTCCCCCCCCCCCCCCTTTTCCTTTTATTTTCCTCTTTTTTCCCCTGCTTTCCTTCCCTATTTCCCACCCCGGAGGCATCACACTGCTCCGAGCCAAGCCCTGCACCACACACATCCATTTGCAGGAACACCAGCTCTGCATCCACAGAAAAACCACATTTCAGCCTGTTATCCCTCGTCCCTGCCCATCCCCAGCCCCTCCCACAGCCACAGGTGCCCCCTATGACCCACTCCATCCCCTCTACAAACTCCAGGCAATGTTCCTGGAGCCAGAGGAAGTTTCCAACTCCAAGGTGTAAAATTCCCTGCGGCACTGACAAAAAGGAGCTGTTTGCCAGTGTTGGCATGGAAATGACTCACTTGGATCCTTTCATGGCTTTCCAGCTACTCTGAAAAGCTTCACAGCTATTAAAGAGCAATTCCACAGATTGGATAGATAATATTCCAGACTAGAGAGCTCTGGATTTAGGAGCTCCATGACATCTAGGGAGAGGTTCAGCTCAGCACTGCAGGACACCCCTCGGGACATGCAGAATTATATAATTACACCTTCAGACAGTCATTATTAAACACCAAATAGTATTACATGGACTGTGCACCATTTGTTCTTATCAAATACATAAAGATAGCCCAGATAAATCTTTATGGCACTATTTTATATACATTTTGTCACACTATTATAGAGATTTTAGGGTATTCTGCCTGAATACTCTATGCATATGGCATTATATTCTAATATTATATGGTATTATGTTATAATATTCTATTTACACCCATTTCTAGAGTACATTCCATAGCTTTAGAGCTATTAAAGGGCTAAAGTGAAGGTGCCAGCCCAAGATGACCTTGGCCCAAAGGCACTTGGGGGTCACCAGGAGTGACACTGTCCCTCGTGTGTTCCCAGGCACGGCAGGAAGGACACAGGTGGCATTTGGGGCTCCCTGTGCTCCTCTCCCTCCTTTGGCACAGACCCCCTCAGGGTCTGGGGGTGTCAGGGGACCCTGCAGCCCTCAGTGACACTGTGACTGTCCTGCCTGCACCATCCCGTGGGAAACATGGGGCAAAACACCAAGTGCAGGAGGCTCTGAAGGGGGATGAGCATCCCCAGTGGGAGGGGAATGCCAGGGAGCAGGGGAGAGAGCTGGGCAGCACCCCCAGTGGGGACCCCATGGCAGGGGGACCCTGCCTGCTCCTGCAGAGCACCCACAGCACCCACAGCCCCTACACAGCA